TTCAATAACAGGGATGTTGCTCAGGATTCCAGCCCAGATGGCCTAGGCAACAAGGGAGACTTTGATGCGGGTAATCCAGGTAGCACAAGCACAGGGGCAGCAGAGCAGCCTTCTGCTTGGAGACAGCCGGACTACATTTCCCAGCATCCCTTCACGGTAGGTGTAGTCACGTGGCTTCCCGCCAGCCAATGAATGTGCGTGGAAGTGGTCCGCACACCTGAGGCTTGGCCCCGGGAAGCTCCCTTCTCCCACCAGTTCTCTGGCCCCTTTGCATCCTTCTGGGCTACCTGGGGTGGCAATGACCTCCGCCAGGGTAACCTTGCGGGGAGAAGAGGCGCCTGAATGACCCCAACTCTAACCTCCAAGGTTACTTGCAGTATTCACGAGACACAAATTTGCCTATACTGTGATTGAGCCATTTAGATTTGGGGGTTGATTCCCTCATACCAAAAAAAGGAATAAAGTCTGCCCCCACTACTTTGAGGATGGACGGTGCCAGTTACGCATGAGCGGCAGTCTCCCGGGGCAAGAGCTACATGAAGGGACCGCCCGTCCCGTCGAGACGCGCCTCGCGCTCACCTTGATGGTCTCCGCCACCTTCATTTCTTCGGCTGTAAGTTCCACCACCGCCTTCTCTCCCGCTGAGAAGTACTGAGAGGCGGGGCTCATTTTCCCATCTTCAAACTGGAGGTTTCTCACCATCAGCTGCAAAACAGCCGGCAGGTAGGCTTAGGATTGGGACCGCCGGAAGGCGAGGCCGTTGGGAGAAGGAGTAGTGGAAGTATTGTGTATACTACTGTGTAGGGAAACTCACTCACGCCCACCGACTGCCCTCGAGTCGATTCTGACGCATAGCGACCCTAGTGCCAGAGTAGAACTGCCCCAGTGGGTTTCCCAGATGGGAACTCTTTGTGGGAGTAGAAAGCCCCATCTTTCCTCCACAGAGCAGCTGGTTGTTTTAACTGCTAGCCTTGCAGGTTGGCAGCTCAATGGGTTAAGTTCCCCACTACCTCGTAGGGATAAGGACCATCTAATTTAGAAACTACAGGGGGAAATGTGGGTTTAAAACAATCATCTTTGGGTGTAAATGCATTAAGATGGCATTTTAATAATGGCAGCTGATAGGAGGAAGCTAAGGCTAGCTTAGCAGTGGCCACATCTGCACATGGATACAGCCCATGCAACACTACAGTTGGATGTAGGTATTTGGGTTAATGAGATGCCACTGTCTGAGCCCTGGCTCTGAAGCTTGCGTGGTGCTTTGACCTCATAAATCCTGACGGAACCCAGAGCCTTATTATTCCCATTGTGCTGATGCGACAACGGAGGCTCCGTGGAGTTAAGTCATTTGTGAGGGCCACACAGCTAGTAAGTGACAGCGCTGGGACTGGAATCCACACATAGCTGAACTCCAAAGACTCGGATCTTAGTGATGCAGCAATCCTGCAGCTGTGAGATCCAAATTCCCTTCTGTACCCTCCCCTGACAAGCTGCCCAGGAGCCCCTGAGCCCAGACCCAACGGTCCTC